ACGGAGTACTGGCTTCATCGTTGAACCTCCTTTATCGCTTCCTTATTTTAAGTCCGCGGACTTCAGGTTTGGGAACGGACAATTTGTTAAAAGAAAGGGGCCTGGAAACACTAGAGTGAAGGGACACCTGGTCAGCGGGCTTGTTCCTTTGCACATGCTCAATCAGGTTCGTTGATTTGGCGTCCATTTTGAAAGTGTCCAACGGTTTCAAACTTGCTTCTTTGAAAGGTTGGAGATCGTTCGTATATTATGCTTCTTGATAGCATCACGAGACATCTTAAGGTTGTTACAATTTATAATGGCACTATCAGCCTTTAGTAATCGATCACCTCTCAAGTGTGCAGCAACCCTTTCGGGACGAGATACTCAGTCAGAAATGGAGGCAGAAACATCGTGTGATCAAAGCACAAGCATTAACACTGGAATGTTCACAACACAGACCAAGACTGTATTACACGTATTACTAAGGCTCTTCGATACTCAAGATCTCGCTGAAAAGAGCAGATAGTAAGGCAAGGTAAGTTGTCCTGGCTCGCCTTTTCTCTAACTTTTTAAGCTTAATTCCAACTTGTTTATGACGAGTTCGAATGACTGTCTCAAGTACTCAGTAACTAACATTTCAGTGAGCAATGAAACCAGCATTAACCGTTTAAAGTAAATTATAACTAAACATGTGTATTTATTTGGCATAACCTTTCAATACTAAGCAAGCAACGAGACCATGACGTTGAAGATGATAATGTAAAATCATGTAAGGACTTGGGGGGTCTGAAGGAGTAGAATTTCCTTGTTTTGTACTGGAAAATAGGAGTTTGGTCACTGGTACTGGGAATTACTAAAAGAAAATAATGGAATTAAGAAAGGACATCTGTATAAAGTAAGCTTACATGTAATGTGATACAAACATTCCTATGAAAATTTTCACAGACTATAGAAGAACTAATAAACAGAATAGAAAAGTGTTAACAAGTGTTGAATTTGCAAGTAGACAAAGATAATCTACGTAGTCTGGTTCTATATTTTGATGCGTCAGTCAATAACAAACCCAAGCTTCCCAATTCCCCGGGCAGTCATAGCGTCATAAGTGGTGAATAATTTAACAGCATGCATGTATTTTTTGAAGCAGATACAAAAGTTTATTTTTTATTTTAAATTACGTGGGTTTTAACTTAAATGAACAGAGAATGAATAGACATTTTCATGAGTCTTTCAATGCATAGCTAATGCAGACCATGGTTGAATTAGAATGTATTTTCATGTAAGTGCCAACATAGTTGTTAACATCTTCACAGTTTCATACCTTCATCTGCAGTTCAAAGTATGATTCATTTCATATATTACCATTAATTTTAATCTTCATTGTGCACTGCTCCTATGAAATTTTATTGTGGTTCTTGAGAGGATATAGTGCAGCACATACTGTCAGGAAATTGAATGCCTTACTTTTTGGGAAGCAAAGCACACAGTCATGTTAGAAACCAGAAATTGTTCTATTTGCACCATAGTTGTATTGTCAGTAAATCTAGGTTTAAAGGAAAATAAAATTTAAAGAAACAAGTTGTGAAAGATAAGACTGTTAAGAGAGTCATAACAGTCATAGCTGTTTTGGATTCTCTTGTCTACATACACCATTATTAATCTGCAAATACAACTGTCTCTCTTGTGAAATGTCCCTCGTGGCAAGGAAAGAAAATGGGCTGCTTTATTTACAGGGTACACTGTACATTATTATTAGGAGGCATTGTTTTCAAGATTGAGGATAAGGGCTTTAAATAGCAAAGTGGCTTCACTCCTGTTACATTAACTAGGAACCTTGAACGTTTCGTATTAAAAAGGAAAAAATATGTTAGGTAAAGTTTCAGGAAAATTTGAAACTTTTGGGAATAAGGTGCTTATATGTTTCTATATTTTCCCTGAAAGTCTTTGGTGGAGCTCATGAGAAGGCTAGGGATGTTTATTGATTTGGAACTTTAGTCCGGGACAGGTAGAAATTTAGTTCAAACATGTAAACCTTTGATATGACTTGTCCGTGGGACAAGCACATTTTTAATTAGAAAAATAAAGATAAGAAACAATATTCCATTTAACTTTGCCATTCCACTGCCAGTCGTTCATCCATTTGCTTTTTAACAAGCTCTGTTGTAGGTTTAATTCAAAAATAATATACAAGGGTAATAATGTGATTAAATAATGTGATTAAAAACATTAAATGCCCGTTGCAAGCTAAACTTTTTGGACAAGAACTCTAGGTTTCGGACAACCAAATTTAATGTATTGCTTGTGTGAAGGACAAGTGGATAGGAAAATTTCTCTCTTACCAGGGTGCAAAGAAGGTGATTTTTAAAGCTTGCCATTCGGCAAGCTGAAGCTAGCATATACTAGCCCAAATGTCATTTCAACTAGCCCCAAACAGTTTTGATGAGCAGAATCGATTTCACAGTTCTTCGTTAATTTGAATTCCTCAAAAATTTCACTTGCCCATCGGGCAAGTTAAGTTCAA